GGGGGCTCCAGCAGGGCTCCAGCAGAGGGCCCCCGCGGGGGGCGCCGGCCTCGGCCCAGTACCGTGTCCGCTTCGCCCCCATCCAGGCCCGTATCCCCCCAGAGCTGATCCCGCTCGAGCCCGCCTCTCCCTCTTGCTGCTCCGCTTCCTGATCCCGTTCGGGCCGGGATCATTCCTGCTCCCCAATAACAAGGAGAGCAGCCCCGGCATCATCGTGTTCGGCGGGGCGCGGCGCGGCGTGGCTCAGACCCGTACAGCCGAAGAGGAGGTACCTCTCTGAGCCCCGCCTCCCCAGCATTCAGTGCCCACTGAGATTAGAGCAGCCGTGTTCCACGATGCGCTCGCATGCACTGCGAAAAGTCCGCCGCGAAGTAATCCGAAAAGCATTTCGAGAAGCATCTGCTTTCGTTGCGAAGCCTCATCGCATAAGGAAACGGAAGCTGCACAAGCCGAAGTGAGCTTTTATCGTAATAACTAACCACTTCTTTGTGAGCTGCCAGCATTGCTTTTGAAAGTACAACAAATTGTTACGTGATCTTCGACGAAATAAGTCTTCATAGAATGAGGGGCACACAGCTTAAGTAAAACGTTGTCCACCTGATTCCTTGAGTTTGGCGGATTCCAAGCAAGAATTAAATTCCAAATACAAGATTATGGGTAGTTTCATATGATTTCGTCCCACCTTGCCCACTTGATTTCAGGAAATGCGTGTGTGTCATACTCGCTTTGTATTTGCCACGCTTGCTTCCGTTTTGTTCGTGAGCTATACGAAGCGGTGGCATGGCAGCGGTCGCCACCGAGTAGGGATTCCACCGTTGCCATGGTAACAGTGTACACAATGCGATATTACTCCAGCCGGCCGGCCGGGCTCGGCTCCAGGGGTTGCTGGAGCCAGTGAGCCTGGCGCTACGGACAGCTACTGCATCTCCTGCACCTCGCACTGGCGACAGTGGAGTGCCACCGGCGGACCGTGGCTCTTCCAAAGGCAAGATCCATTTAAACAACACATTTTGTAATTCCACAAGTTACTTTTTCCGAAATAAAAACTATACAAAAAGGTGTGCATCAAGAATATCAACATACTATACACAATCCTACTATACGTTGGCTAAACGTTCTTCCCTGCACATGTTTACGTTTGGTGTACATTTTTCGTGCATAGTTATAGACAGGTCGGCACACCCAGAATTCTGAACGAATTTGTACAGAATTAATGTTTTTTACCACCGACAAACTAAAGCCGACTTGGATCCCCCTGCCGCTGCTCGCTAGGATCTCCGAATAAAAGTGCGGTAAGAGGAGGGGCGCCTCATTCCGACACGAAACGTCAGGCCTCCCTTAACCCCCCCCC